ATTCCAAAACCATGGCCATTATTGTGGAGTTAGCCCCCCCCCCCCCCCCCCACACTTCCCAGTGACCTAAGAGTTGGACTTGAGGTGTCATTGGAGACATGCCATGCTTTCACGTGTAAAGGATAAATCCAACCAAAACTGCTAATGTGACCCCTCCCCTTATTCCAGGAACCGCCCCCTCCTAGCAGCATGTTGTTACCTTTTCTTGCTCTCCCACCCGTACGTAGGACCCTCCAAAGCAAAGTAGAATACCCAATTTTGGGGGGGGGTGTAAGGGAGCCTGTCATTCGCTCCCCCTCCCCTATAAGAAAGTGTTGGTGTCTTGTGATAGGCCCAGCACTGTCACATGGTGGGACGGGTCCATAGCCATGTGATCCAAAAATTAGCTGCACTCTGATGACCTCAGCTGTACAAAATTGTCCGGAAAAGATCATGAGACGTCCACCAAGACCGCGCCTGGCGCTGACGTGTTTTACCCAGAAGGGGGCGTAACCCCCGGGGTGTGGCCAGCTTCCTGTTTACTATACATGTGGAGCAGTGACGCGCGTTGCCTCTTGCTTGGGGTGAAGAATGCCAAAGCCCCGCCTCCTGTTGGCCGAAGCCCCGTCCCCGAGCTAGTTTAAAGGAGGATGGGAGGAGCCTCCCTGTCCCTCACTTGCTCCTCCCCGCTTAAGGCTCCGTGACAGGTTACGCGGCGTAGAGGATTTCCCTGCTCTGTAACCCGTTAGATGCCGATCTGAATGGAGAAAAAGCTGTCAGCTGACATGAAGCTGACAGCTTTTTCCTCCATAATTCTAGCTGAGGCTCCGCCCCACCTGCCTCCCCTGACCGCACGTCCCTGATGTTGACTTTCTTCAGTTCTGACGGCTGGATGGAGCAGTGGGGGGAGGGAGGAAATGGGAGCACATGCTGCTGGGTGGAGCAGTGGGGGGAGGGAGGAAATGGGAGCACATGCTGCTGGGTGGGGGAGTGAAGCGACCCTCTTAATTTGCTCTGCATGAGCCCAGGAAAGGGTCCATTTCAAAGTCATCTTCATCTGAAGCCGATATTATAGTTTTGGATGCAGCTGGCACATTCTTGTGCATCCCGGAGACTTCTTCAGCTGTAAGCCATCTCCCGAAAGTAGTTTGAGGTTCAGCCTTTGGATTTTGGATAACACTAGCTGGCTTGTTAATGTCCGCACCTACGTGCTTTTGGCTTTAAGACCTGCCGCGGAGTCTCACTTCTGTTACTGTATGTGCACGGTAATCTGGGCACATTGTAATAGGAATGGGACATCCTCCTAATGGCTGAGGTGTTTGGGCACAACGTTGGTTTCAGGACACAACTACCCGAGTCCCTGAGGCAGATAAGGAATCCGGGGGAGGGCGGGGGAAGGGGGGTACATCCAGGAAGCCACAATATTTGTTTTGTTCGGGCCGACCCTTTGAAGCTTAAACATGGGAACCCCAATCACATCCCATGGTAATAGTCAGGAGAAGATCAGAAGAACGATCCTTTTGTCAGCCGCCTTCGCGGTGCTTTATAAGAACCGGCCTTACATTCCATGAATCCTTCCGTCTGTCCGGCTGGAAAACTGGTGCTATTCCACAACTTCACGTCTTGCCTCCAATGGTCACTCCGCGGAGAAGTGATATCTCAGCATCGGGTGGCAGATAGAATCGCCTTGCAGGGTATTGTATCATCTCTACAGCTGAGTTCC